GGTGTGCAGGTGTGCAGAGCCTGAGTCCCTACTTTTTCTCCTTTGGGGTGTCTACTCTCGCCATCCCCATACTTTTAAAAAACATTTTAATTTTTAAAAATTTTCAAATTTTTATTTCCATATACGTTGGTGTTTTGCCTGCATGTATGTCTGTGTGGGGATGCTGGATCCCCTGGAACTGGAGTTAGACAGTTGTGAGCTGCCATGTGCTGAGCCATCTCTCCAGCCTTCAAAATATTTTTTCATACATATGTTTGCCTGCATACATGGTCACACATTACAATGCCTAAGGAGGCTAGAAGAGGGCATTAGACCTCCTGGAACTGGAGTTACAGACAGCTGTGAACCACCATGTTGTGATGCTGGGAATGGAACCCCAAGCCTCTGCAACAGTAGCAAGTGCTCTTAACTTCTGAACCATCGTGGCTCCAATACCCCCAAACAAATTCTGTTATTCTGTTGTAGTCAGGATTGTTTTGGTTTTTTTTTTTTCTTTTTTTTTTTTTTTTTTTTTTTTTTTTTTTTTTGAGTGTGCATGATCTCAGGTTTATCAAGACTGTCCTGAACATATGTGGGCCCAAAGTGAAAGATATTTGGACAGCTGTGGAGTGCTCACATCTTGGAACAACTGCCTGTGTACTATTTCGGTAGTTTGCGCCCATTTTTATTATTTTGATTCCCCACTATGATGTAGAAGAAATCTTTATATTTGTTTCCAGTGTCCTGCTGACAGTTTATCTAAAGGGAACCAAACTGGGTGATCCAGCTGGGTGGGTTGTAATAGTTGGCCTCAAGATTAGATCTTTAGGGCTGGGGTGTGTCTCACCTGGCACTTGGGGACTTGAGTTCCATCCCCAGCACTGCAAAATACAAGGAAAATATCCATTAAAAAAAAAAAAAAACTCATATGGTATATGTGATACTGTCAAGATTCGATGTCCCCAAGATCCAGGTAGACATTCCTAGGGTCCTACTAGAAATGGGGTCTGGGTGTTGTGAGAGTGGCTGTCCTTCACCGAGAGACAAGTGGAAGTAGGCCAGACTCTGGGTATTTTTATGTGAATCTCCTGATCCAAAATTATTCCCAATTAGCTCATGTTTCAGGGGCCGTTTTTCAGCCTGAAGCTCATCATTGGTTATCGAGAATCTCTTTGTACAGATGTGGGTGCCAACTGCACCACAAACTGCCTTGTAAGTCATGTGTGTGTTTAGGCTCACCTGGGTGCCCATGCATCTTCTCACATCCCAGGGTAAGAAGCAGAGGCTGGAACAATCATGGCAGGGGACTCTTGGACCACGTTTCACATTCTGTGCACACATTCTGTTTTTTCCTAAGCTTCAGATTGACTCTCTTGACTTGCCTGTTTTTCCAGATGAAGTTTGGAATTTTTTTTTTATTGTCTTTTGAAAAAAATCAAATTTTTTTGCCTCATAAACTCATTGAGGATCCACCCACTTTGGGAATGGCTCCATGATGTCGGTCATCTTCCCTGCCTCAGGTGAGCTTGTCCTATCCTGTGGTAGATGACAGGCATTCCTCCCAACATTCTCCTTGGGGCTATGTTCACTTCTGAGGCCCTAGGATTGATCAGCAAGACTCGTTCCTTTCCCCCTCCTGGTAATAGGTCACCAGGAGGCAGGAGGGACTGGGAAGGACAAAGCCAGGCCCTAAAGGTCACACAAGAGGTTTGGTTTCTACCATGGAAAATGGAAGTAAGAAGCCAGGCTTGGAAGTGTCCCAGAGAGGAAGGGTAGAAGGGCCTGGCTGGGTTGGCCAGCCCCACCTGGGTGCAAACAGATAGGACAAAGACCCACCCCACCCTGACTGCACTGGTGTCTGGCCCTGTGGGATTATAAAGACAGTGGTCACCCTGCTCAATGCTTGTGGCTCCTGATCTGTCTGGGTGCTTTTGTCCACAAAATCCCAGTTGTTTACCGGGTAGTGACTGCACGGTGGGAGGAGGGAATACAAACAGGGATCAGCAGCCGCTAGACCTTACTTGAGCTGTGACCCCATGGTCCTTAGTCCTCTTATACCACCAGCCTCTCACATTGGCCTGGTGATGCCTCACAGATAGCCCTAAGTTCAACAGGCAAGGGTGCATGGAAAATCCACCCATTTCAACAGTCATTAGAGCACCTATTATCCCAAGAATGCATTGGCACTGAGTGTACACAGAGGGAAGCCGCTCACCTACTGGATTCCTCCTGGCCTGCCTCTCAGTACCTAAGACTGTGTCTAGAATGGGTGCTCCAAAGTTTGGGGCTAACAGGAGAAAGAAAATAAACCAGGGGATCGTGGATTTTTGTAAGCTTACTCTGCCTTCTGGGCTTGGATCTGGTCCTCTGAAAAATTCTAGGTCTAGAATGTGGGAGTTCCCCAGATTCCAGGTTCTAGGCCTCATGTACCAGGGTCTGGATTCTGACAATTGGGCTACAGGCCCTATTTCAGGGTTCTAGCTGGGTTCTATGTTCAGAGCTCAGAAGGGCTCTGGATGTAAGGAACCTGGCTCTGGACTCTGTGGTCCTGGGCTCTAGGGTCCGTCCCATGGGCCGAGCTCTTCAGTTTGGATGTGAGTGTCCAAGCTCTAGACTCTGTGTTTGAGCTATAGATTCCTATTGTTTTGTTTTGTTTTGTTTTTAGTCCAGGCTGTGATTCCTGATTTGGGGGCTTAAACTGCAGGTTCTAGACCAGTAGTTCTCAACCTTCCTAATGTTGTAACCCTTTAATACAGTTCTTCATGTTGTGATAACTCTCCAACCATAAAATTATTTTGTTGCTATTTCATAAGTAATTTTGCTACTGTTAATGAACCATAATGCAAACATCTGATATATAATATATGTGATATGGGACCCCTGTGAAAGTGTTGTTCAGTCCCCAAGGGGGTTGGAACCCACAGATCAAGACTGTCCATTCTGAACTTTGGGCCAGACAAGTTTGCCCTGAGCCAAGAAGTATCATTACCTCCTTAAGAGGTTCCTATTTGTTCTCACCGATGAGGCTTCCTATGCCTGTAACAGTATGTGCCAAAGGGCATTGCTAATGGCACAAGCTTGCACGCACACACACACACACACACACACACACACACACACACACACGTACGTACGTACGTACATGCATGCACACCTACTCCCAGATCCATCTGTCATCAAATAAACACAACCTTGGAGTTGAGAGCTGGGGACAAGACAGAAAGCTGCTTCTGCCTTTGCTGTGGCTGCAGCTAGCAGGCTAAAAGGTCAATGTGGTCCAGGTCCTATGGTGCCAGGGCCACAGTGTACCCAGGGGGAGGCACAGCAGCCCAATTAAGCTTCAGCTTGGCTCCTGCCTGACCCAGGTGTCCATTCTCCAGGAAAGGGTGAGAACGGGGTAAAGGCGGCATTGCCAGGGCGGTGTCCTGAGGCCAAAGCCCTGGAGATAACTTCACTGCACCCTGGTAACTCTGGCACTTTGGATGATGTGCTGGTCCTTGCTAGGAGTCTGGCCTTCTGCTGTGTGTGATGACCCAGCAGGCTGATTTAGGAGTGGGGGATAAGGGGGATGAGGAGGGTGGGGGTGCTGGTATTGGACTTTGACACTGGTAACAGGATGATAGTGACTAGAGGTGAGCACTCAGGGGCATCAGTACCAGAGCTTAGGACAGCATCAGAGAAGATGTGGCAGGAAGAGGGTGTGTTATGTAGACAGTTAAATGATCAGAGGCAGGAAGCTTGTCAGCTTCTCAGGAGGGAAGGTAGGAAGATCTATAGTCCTTAGGTGTTTGAAGCCAGCCTGAGCAACATAGAGACCTCATAACTCACACCCCTCAAAAGAAAAAATCACTAGTGACACCATTGGTGGCCCAGGACACCAGTGACTGACTGCATCTGGGATCCATACATTGGCCAACGGAAACTTTGAGGAGAGATTCTAGGCCTATGATTGATTAGTGACAATTGCCAAGATCACGCTGCCAGAGATGACTTTTGTGCAGGCCTGTGACTGGACACATCACTGACCAGATGCAATGGTAACATCAGTGATTGGTTAGCAGTCACTCTCTAAGGATGGCAGATGCATTGATCAGGAATATTGGTAACAGCAGCTGTCATGGGTCATTGGTTAGAGACAGCAATCAGTGACAGGGTGATCACGTTAATGAACAGATTTGATAGCCTGGTACCCTAGAAACCAGAGCTGACCACAACTCGGGGGATCTGAGTGGTACCAGAGAAGTTACAGGCTCTTTGCAAAGCCCAAACAGGCACCTTGCTGGGCTCTCAGAAAAGGATGCTGGAGAAGAGCCCTTTCCACACTCATGTACCTTCCCCTGCCACCCCAGGGAGGAGGCTTTAGCAAAATGGGGCTTCTCTGAAAGACAAGAGATAGCAGAAACAAGGCCACGTGACAGCTCAAACCCCACCAGGGATGTGGGGTCCCAGGGACCCATTTGACAGGCTGCAGCATTCACAAAAAGTATTTTATTATTTTTAACAGTATTCACTTTAAAGGAATAGGAGGGTAGCATACAATTTTTACAGACAATATTTAAATGTTGTACATAGTTAACAATAACTTAGGTCACTAATTCAAAATAAAACGAGCCAAAAATAAACATAAAAACAGAAAATACTGCTGATTCTTTTTCTTATGCGGGTACTAGCACAAAATAAGTTACTTCCGGTTATGGTGCTCTGCAGCAATTGGACGCCAATATTGCACGTAGTTGACTTGTCAGCACAATTGTCTTCCTGGGCTAGGGGCCCCCTTGCTGGCTGCTGCACTACCACCACCACCACCACCGCACACAGAATCGAAGCTTGGGAGACATTTATGTACAGCTGTACCTTGAAGGATCCAGCCAGCCACAACAGAACAGAACCCCCCAGGGATCACAGGGCCACTGCCCTCCCATGTCCCCCAGCAACCAAGAGCATAAGATCTCCCTTGTCCCCAGCCTCCTGCTAGGGCCATGGGATCCAAGAACCATTCAAGAAAGAACCGTGAAGCTCAGTCTTGGTTTGTAGGTTTTATTCCTTTTCATGGTGGGTCTTCTGTGGCAACGTACAATTGACTGGACCCAAAACGAGTTTAAAAATAAAACCACTCATCAGTGAGTTAAGCTTATGCAGTTTGGGTTTGGTTTTGAATATTCTCTTATTTATCTTAGAGTGGGAGGGAGTTGAGGAGTTAGCAGAAAAAAAGATGTATTTACAGGGGTCCAGCTGGCCTAACAGCACAGGCCGCAGCTTGGCCATTTGGGTCGCACCAGCTTTGGCCTCTCGAAGCCAAGGGAATGATCTGGGAGACATTTCCCCTTTCCAGAGAATGCTTCCTTCCTGTGACCCAGCCCTGGCCTGGGAATCCGCACAGGACCGCCTGCGATTGTCTCTGCCCTCTGGGGCTGCGTCAGGGCAGGGGCTACCCTCCAGACAGCTGGGGAGAAGGCTCAGGCTGAGGCCCTGTAAGTCTGCCCTCCAGAGCCCTGGCTGGTGGCAGTAGACCCCAGGGTAGAACCCAGAGAACACAAACAGCCCATGCCTCTGTGTCTCCACGTCCTTGTACGAAATAAGAGCAAAATAAATTATTTTTTTTGCCTATTCCTTTTGCCTTCAAAAAACGGTTTCATTTTTTCTGTCCCCAGTCTCCTCTGTTTCTTGCTATAAACCTGTCTGTTTTGCTCTCCAAGCAACTGTCCGTGAAAAAAACTTTTCTGGGCAGCACCCAGGGCGCACACAAGCTGTAGCCCAGTTAGAAACATTCACAGTAATGGCTGCACAAGGCTGGGAGTCCTCCAAGGAGAGGTGGTTTCGGCCAGGCTAGGCTGGCAGGAGGAAGTGGGTCTCTTGGGATGGGCGGGAGCCAAAAGTGTGTTCCACCCAGGGAGTACCCGGCCTCGCTCTGGTTCTGCCAGCCACCCTCGATGTCCATGTCTGTCCAGTGGGAAGCTGTGCCTAGCCCATGGCAGTCACCATGCTGGACGGGTGGGGGTGGCCAAAGGAGAGACTGGAGGAGGGGTGGATGGGCGTTGGCGTGGGCAGGATGTGTCCAGAGTGGCTGAAGGGTGGGAGGTGGCCCACAGGCGCCATGTGTCCAGCCAGGGCAGCGGCACTGAACGGGGACGACTTCTCCTGCATACACTTGGAAAGCTCCTCAAAGCATTCAGCCCCTTTCTTGCTCTTCTTAGACTTGCTGGACATCTTCCGGTTCCGGGTCTGGATCCCTTCCTTCTTCATGGTCAGTGGTCTGTTAACCTGGGGGCAGCCATGCAGCCTTTAGGGCAAGTTCCCTAACCATGAATCCCTTCCACAGGTCAAGGGAGACTGGGTTACATATATCCCCTGGGCGCCAGGAATTGTGTCTTTAGACCGGCTTCCAATATCACTCACTAAAGTCCCCTTAAGCCTGCACTGTCACCATTTTCAGGAAAGGAGACTGCATAGTATAACAGCCCACGTTGTTTCCAGTCCACTAAAAGCCTGTACTGCCTGCCTTCTCCCAGACCCCTCTAATCCTCCCGGGCCTCCAACTTTTCCTAAGACAGAGGTACAAGTTCCCTGCCAGCCCTGCCCCCGTGGGTCCCACCTCCACAGCAGAGGCAACCTTCTTACAGGAAGCCCTTCTGGCACTCTGGGCTGGCCAACCAGGCTGCCGGCTGCGGCTTCCCAAGCCAAGCCAAGCTGGAGATTGTAGCTGGGGCCGCTGGCCGGGCTGCACAAAGAGCTGCGGTCCCTGGGGAGGGGTGGGGTGCACTCACATTGTGCAGTTTGTAGTAGAGGCCACAGGCGTTGCACACAGGGTCCCCGTTGGCGTTCCGGCGCCATAAGGTGGTGGTTGTCGTCTGACAATTTGCACAACAGGTGCCCGCTCTCCTGGCAGCAGACTAGGAGGGGAGGGGTAGCGTCAGCGGGGCCTCTCCCACGCCCCACCTTGACCTCCTCCAGGGCCCTTAGCACCACCCGCAGTCTCACCGCTCAGCCCAGGACCAGTGGGTCCCACAGGGGAACCAAGGCATCTCAGACCAAGGAATTTTAGAATTTGAGAAGTAAAGTATCTGGGAATCACAGAACTTTGGAATAAAGAGCTCTTAGAATCCAAATGATTATAAACACGGACGGGAAAACCAGCCACTTCCCCCAAACGCCTAGCAATCTAATTTCATAGGTAAGGAAACTGAGGTTCCCAAGGACGATTTAGCCCTGTGGCCATCCTGCATGGCTCTGTCTCCAGTTGCATGTCTCCTCCCCCCACTGTTCCCCTGGAAATCCAGAATCCTGGTGAGTCATGACCAGGAGGCCATGGTAGCAAGACCCTGCACTACCCAGGAGATCCCAGAAAGGCCTGGAGAAGTTTGAGCCCAGGATTAAAGTGTGGAGTTGCCTTGTCCTATACAACTCACCAGGAGAGATTTAAATTAAACTACACTTTAAAAACTAAACACTCAGTTCCTTTGACTGCACTAACCACATTCCTAGCGATCAATAGTCATACTAGCCAGAGGCTTCCACACAGGATGGAGGAGCAAAGACATTCTCATTCCCTGCCGGTCTAGGTCCCAGGGCAGGGCAGTTCTCACCTGTCGCCTTTACCAGCCCCTAGTCCCAGCCCCCCAGGAAATGCCAGTCAGAGGTGGGGAGTGGAAGAGAAAAGGTCTGGTTTCTAGAACAAGGAACTCAAGGTCCAGAGAGAAAAGCTTTTTCCTAGAATACAGATCACTCTTTTGCCATCCCTTCTGCCCCAGGTAAAAAGAGGGGTGGTCGTGTCCAGGCCCCCACCCCAACCCTAGTACTGAACTCTGTAGGGTGGGGGCCAAGTCCAGCAGAGTCCGGAGTGGCCCCAGGCCTGAGCCTGCTCGTGGAGGGGACCAGAGCCGGCTGCCGCGGGGGCAGGGAGGGTGAGTAAGCAGCCTGAAGCTGGAATTCTGACTCAGGGGCCAGCAGTATATCCTCCTCCCACCCCCACCAGCCCGCACCCGCCCTCACCCTGCTCCAGGGGGAAAAAAAGAAAAAGGGCCCCAAAGCGGGTGAACGATTTAAGCTCATAAATCACTTCGCCCTGAAAAAAATATATTTATTATTCTTAGCATTTTACACATTATTTGCAGAATGGAGGGTATTAGAAATTTCAAAACAGCCCAGCGAGAGGCAGGACTGAGTCGAGGTGGCTCTGAAAACTTGCCGGTCCGGAAACAGATACACGAAGTTTCCTTATCTACCGGCTGCAGATGTCCGGATAGGAAACTCCGGCAGGAGATCCGAAAGGACATTTTTTTAAAAATCACTCAAATGAAAATACACAGTATAGGTGACTCCATGGAAAAATAATAAAGGGCAGGTTTTTTTGGTGGCTGCTGTGTGTTATTTAAATAAGCGGAGGAGACTGTGAGCTGGGGAGGTGGGGGGGGCAGAGCTGCCAGAGGGAAAAGTACTTCATGACCCTATTTTTAAAAAGAGTAAATCGAAGGCCAGAACATGAGGGTGGGCTGCTGGACCCTGGGTTCTGGGAATCCTTCAGCAGTGGGGGGCGGGGGCGGGGTGCCCGGTGGCTGCAGGACAGGAAATTCGGCAGGAAAGAATCCACCAGAATGAAGACCGACCTGACTGACCCCCAAATGATTTCACTGATAAGAGACTTTCAGGTGGTGAAGTCTCTGCATTTGAAGTTTTGTTGTTGGGTTGTTTTCGTTTGATTTTCTTTTTTCTTCCTCTTACTAACCACCAGCTCTACCCAAGGTTGGTGGCCACTGTGGCCCTGCCCCGCCCCACGATGTGCCCGTTCCTACCAGCCTCCGTTTGGGCTTGATGAGGGGCCGGTTCTGTCCGTTCATCTTGTGGTAGAGCCCGCAGGCGTTGCACAGGTAGTGGCCGGTGCCATCACGTCGCCAGAGAGGGGTGGCTGTGGCCCCACAGTTGACGCACTCTCGGCCTTCTGCGAGGGAGACAAGGAGAGACACAAGGCCTGCTTAGCGGCTACTGGCTACTTGAGCCAGAGGATCAAGCCTGACACACACGGTTATATCAAGGAAGACTTTCAGTCCCACCCCTGCAGGCAGAGGGACTCAGGGGGTCCCGGTAGAAGAGGCCCTGAGTCTTTTAAGGACAATCCCCATCTCAGATGTTGCTGAGGCAAACAAAGAGAAGCAGTAAGTACCGGGCGCCAGGGATTCTCAGAGCCAGGAGCAAGATACCCGGAAAAAGGAACGGAAGGCCGGCTTTGTGGAGCGCAGGCTACGCTACAGTCACAGTCGCCCAGCCTGACCTGAGTCTGGGGAGCCTCTCTTCCTCCTCTTTCCTTCTACCCAGCTGTGCCAGCATCTCCAAGTCTGTTCCCATCTATGCTATCAGCCCCTTGCCGTATTTATATTTGGTCCTGGGTCAGGAAGGAAACTTCTCTCCCCCTAGCTTTTCTCCTTCTTCAGCCAAATCCCTAGAATCCAATGATCAAAGGTGCTGTTTTTTTTTAATGAACTAATTAAGAAGTTCTTTCACTTTAGGTTAGGTGGCCTTGTTTTTGTTGTTATTGTTATTTTTGGTCACCTGGAATTCAAATAAAATACAAAACAAACTCGGAAGGAAGGACTTCAAAAAAGGCAGACTCTGGTCTTAGGAGGGCGGGCGCTAGAGTCAAGTTGAGTTGGAGTTCAGGGGAGTGAGTGCTTAGCAAGCTGGGACATTCTTCCTGGTTTAGTATGTACAAACTCAAGAAAGAGAAGGTGGTTTCTGAACTCAGGGGTAAACTTTGAAGAAAACCTCCCTCTCCTTTGCTAAAAGCTCTGGGAAGGAGACCCAGAGCCACGGGTTTTTGCCTGAGGGCCACATTGCTAGACAAACCCAGCTGGATCCAGCTACTGCTGGCAAAGGGGTGCGGGCCCACAGAGGCCCTCACTTCTACCCTCAGGGAGAAGGATCAGGGTCACTAGGATACAAACAGGCCTTGGGAATTTTGCTTTGGGGAAATCTCCGAGGAGATCTGGAGTCACCGCAATCCTAAAACTAGACTAGCAGAGTTGGAGAACCAGATTCCTTTAGGCCTGGACCTCTGCAGTGCCCGCAGCATGCACACACGCTCACAGACACACGTACACACATGTACACACTGACTCCTTCCCTCACCTACACCCTGCATTCTCCCCCACACTCAGTCATGAGGCAGTTTCAGCTGAGCCTTTTGGGGAGGGGACGGGAAAAACATTCTGAGTCCTGATGCTTACCAACCTTGGAGAGGAGGGCATGGTGAGGGCTGAGGAAAGGAACTGAACCCTGGGGTTCAGGAGCACTCAGGGGCAGGATGAAAGGCTTTCTTCCTCCCCACACCTGTGGACTGGCAGAGGACTGCCACCCCATTCTTGCATCAGGCGCACCAACATGTCCCCTCTTCAGATCACAACCCCTTCTACAGAGGCACGCCCCACCCACAGGCTCTGAAGTCCCACATCTCCCTTTACCTGAGCAGGAGCGTGCCTTGCTTCGCTGCTTAGGGGTGAAGCTGGAGGCTGGACCACCCAGGAAGCCTCCAGGATGGAAGAGCCCGCTGCCGTAGTCATGAGCTGAGGCAGGCACATAGGAGGGGTAGGTGGGTATTGGGTGGTGTGTTGCAGGCTGAGTGCCCATGGTAGCCAGGCCTGGGCGCAGGGGACTGCCACCTTCCATCTTCATGCTCTCAGACAGTGACACTTGGTACTTGACACCGTCCTTGTCCTCACCCCGGGCTACACTACCCCCTGCAGAAGAGGAGGCTGGGGAAGCGGCTCCCGTGGTGCTGGGGTCTGGAGATACTTCTTTGGGGGGTGTGGGTGGGAAGCCGAAGAGATGGGAGCCAGAGTGGGCTGCAGTGGGGGTGAGGGAGGCCACTGAGCCCCCACTGCCTCCTCCACTCCCACCCGCAGCCCCTGGATACACAGACAGAGGCCCCCCGGGTGCTCCAGCAGCTGAGGGGTGCAGCGGAGTCTTGGAAAACGGGCTGACGGTCCAGGGGCTGTGGTGATGGGCTGCGGCGGCAGAGAGAGCAGCTTTGCCTCCGTCCAGCCATGGCAAGCCTGGGCTGTGCAACAAGTGTGGTCGGCACATCTGGCCTCCTGTGAGTCGGGCTGTGGCAGAGGGAGAATGGGTGAGTTTGGGCAGGGGCCTCAGAACCATGACACAGGCATACAGGATCACAACTCAGGGAACAACCATCAGCAGCCCCACCCTTTAAAACACCAGAAATCTAACAGCCCAGCCTGTACTCATCAGCAGTGTCAGTGGAAGGCCGAAGGACAAGTGACACAGCGCAACCCCACCGGACAGGGCCCAGAAGGAGTCCCCCAAGACAGTTGGAAATGGACTTAAACCCTACAGGTCTCAGACCCTCCCCAAGAGGTCACTGCCTCCACCTTCCCCGGCCCGATTTCGCAGCTGCTCAGATTCCTGTGGATCCCACATCCGGGAAGCCGCAGCGGGCTGTCCTCCCCTCCAAGGCCTGGCGTGGGCGCCGGGCTTGCAGAAAACCCCCGAGGGCCGAAGCTCACCGTGCGCGGGGCTGTAGGAAACGCGTGCGCGCGCGTGGGCCGGGTTGGCGTAGTAGGGATTGCCTTGCGAGTCGAGATGGTTGAAGAAGACATCCACTTCGTCCGGAGGCAGCAGCTGCGCTGGCTCCATGTAGTTGTGCGCCAGGCCCGGGTGGTGCGAGTCGGGGTGCTGCGCATTCAATACGGCGGGGGGGGGCCTCCCGCGAGGCTGCTCGGGCGCCACCTCCATGGTCCGCTACTGCGGCTTGGGATCCAGGCGAAGGCGGGGCGGCCCTAAGTGACATAGGGGATGTGAGCAGGCACTGCCGGCCTCTGACACCCCCCTCTCCCAAAGTCGGTGTCTTGAGAGCAAAGGCGTTCCAGCGGAGGTCCACTGAGGTGCAGTCCCGGGTGGGAGGAAAGCGCAAGGTTCAAAACGAAAGGAAGGTGGAGGAAGGGGTTCAGCCTCACACACTCGCAGGCAAACTCGTGTTCCCACAGCCACACACCCATGCACACGAGGTCACATACAGAGATGGACTCTGACACCGGCGACCCCAAACAAACGCACGCGGAACTGAAATCGGGTTCCACACCGAGCCCCTCTCCTCTGGACACACAAACACACGAACTCTGACTAAAAGTTAGAGACAAGAGCCTGGACATCCACTCTGGGGCACACAGCCCCCCATCATTCACTTACATTGGCAATGTATACACAGACTAACCTCGACACCCCCCACCCCAAACACAAACACGCACACGCAGTTATGGGGCTGAGAGCCGGTCCCCAGTGCCCTCTCCAGCAGTCCAGCCAGATCTCTCCCCGAGGCTTAAGAACGTAATCGCCCACAGGAGATCCTGGCCTGAGTTCCACAGAGATCCCTCCAACCTAGGAGTGCCCACAAGCCCCCTGCTCCTCAAACTTACACTCGCAGGCG